GCGTTGAATGGACCCTGCATGGGGTTCTCTCCCACCTCTTCAGCAAGATCGTGCTGATTCAAAGCAAATAAGCAGATCCAAAAGACCACAGACTGCTGCTGGCGGCACTGCATCTTCTTGAAGTTCGCATCTGCCCACAGATCCAGAGCTTTGACGGTGCTGCTAAAGTCATGGCCCCAATAGTGGGACACGAAGCAGTGAACAAATAAGCCCCATGTGTTCACAAGTTCTGAGAATGACGAAGCTTTACTTGCTGCGGGAATTGACTGCTGAGCATCCTGATCCCTAGCTGCACAATGCCCCGGCGTGGTCATTGGAGTCACCACAAAGGTGTCCAAAGCGTACAAGTTGGGGCTTAGATTGAACTTTGTTCCCTCCTGAATGGCTTGCGCGTTGTCAAGGTTGAAGGCTTCGCAGTGCGTCTGCAGCCAGCGAGACTTTACGAACAAGGTCTCGAGATGCTGTAGCTGGCCCAAAGCCATGCCACGCAAGGAGTGAGGCACTGTTCCTTAGAGAGTTTAGGGTTTCGGGTATGAGCTGTTTGGAACGTTTAAATACTGGCAGGCAAGTCTGTGCTTGTTGACCCAACTACTCTTCATGTGTCATGTGCGTACATCAAACGATGTATCGTAGCTACAGATTGCGGTACACATCGGTACACGTATGAGTGACGTCAGTGATATCCAAAATGGAAAAGAAAGTATAGCTAGAAGCGGCACCAAAGCTACTTCCTAGCTAGCGTAATCCCAAGGATCGCTGAGACTGGCTAGAGTCCTCTGCTCCGGGAAAGTCCGCCACAATTTCAGCAAAGCGCCGCGCGCTGATGCGAAGCTGGTGGTGATCATCTTGACCTAGCTGACCTAGCTCTGCGGACATGAGCTGCTGGAGTCTTTCCTGGTCTCGTGGATTGTTCCACCTGATTCTCACTCCAAAGACCTCAGCTGCCTGCTTCAGCTCGTGCATATCCAAATCTCCCGAGCCATCCAAATCGCAGCACGTTGCAACGAAGTGCGGATCTTGGAGCTTGTACTTCAGTTCATTGCTGATGTGACGTAAATCCGACTGCCAGCTCTCACAGCACTCGCAGTTTGACGGGTGTGACGTGCATGAAGTTTTGCAAGTAGTATGAGTGCCAGCCTCCTCCTTGTATGTCTCATCTGTTTGCGGACTGATCGGCTGGCTCTGTTCCGTCTTGTCTGTTTTTTTCTGCAAGACTCCATCGAGCACTCTTGGCAGTGCACTCCCACTCTCACAGCGCGGTTGGGAGACCGCCTGCTCCGCCGGCTTGCTGCAGCTGCAGCCCATACCAAGGTCTAGGAAGCGTCGCCGAGAAGTAAACGGTGGCACCAAACATTTCCCGCACTTGTGGCGGTCAGGAAAACTTGTTCAACCCAAGCCCGAAACGCCAAAAGATCGGTAAGCAAGTCCATGACGTGTGCCACACATCGACGCGGACGAACACATGTATGGACGAAAAGCTCACGAAGGTTTAGGGCTCAATGGTGTGACTACAGGGGGGGGCTAGGAACACAAAGAGCACGGAAACTATCGTTGCAATCATGATCATGATACTGGCTGAGCTGCCAAGCCAGCAACCAACAATAGCCTTTCCAAGCTGCAGAACCCCCCCACAAAGCCCTTCTTGACCAGAATCGGGGGGGTGAGGGCATGACAAGGTGTGGCAAACCCAAGCGTATTGCGGCCTCAGCTTATCCCAGGACAACTCTGGTTTGCATCCCAGATCCGAACAATACCCCGCGTGCTCGACAGACAGTCTGCGGAATCAAAAGCGCATTGCGAAGCTCAGTTCCTCTCGGGGACCCAGGCTACCTCCCAAATGTTCCCGCAACAAAGCGCTCCTCACTGCGAATAGGCGAGCAGTTTCGAGTTCATGCAGGTGGCCAATGGAAACCTCTTTTGGCTGCGCAGCACATCGCTCAATAGGTGCTCGGCTCACGAAGAGTCCACCTGGCTTTGTGCGTTTGGATGCGATTTGTGCGCTTGGATGCAAAGGACTCTAGTGTTTCTCCATGCCCCTTGGTCTAGACTCGTCTGGGACAGGCAGTTCGCTCCAGTTCCGAAAGAAGCATGCCAGGCATTGGAAGAATCAACCTTTCATCAACTTGCAGGTGCATTTTCCACGAGGGCTCATAACGATTCCATCGCCTTCGGCGACCATCACAGATGCAAATAACAAACGAAAAAATATCATCGCATGGGTACCCTGCCACCCTCGACACAACTACTGCTCCTAAACACGGAAGACCTTGGAAGTTAGTCCCCAAAACCTCACAACGAGATCAAGATTCTTTGGTTGTGGCGAACCCCGAGTGGGTGGTGGACTGCAGACTTGGGTGCCCACGCGAATCTGGTGCGTGCATGATGCATGAGGATGCACATCCTGCTCCTGATGGAACCTCTCGGTGTGAAACATTGCGGCTCAGGCCTGTGTCGGAGTTGCCCTTCGATGCTCCCAGGCATTTGAAACAGGCTGCTGTGTTCGTAGTTCGGGGGTGATCATGAAAGAATAACTTCCGCAGACTCTTCTGGCACTCGCACTTACTATCTCTATGGAGAGAGATAGTCTATGACCACGAGCGGTCGATTCGGGTGAGACCAGAATGCAAAAACCTTGCACCTGCACGGACGTATTCATGATGTCTTCCACGGCGCGAGTGTGGAGGCTGACTACTGTTCTCTTTTTCTCCTGAGTTTCTAAGAGTTGGCCGCGGAGCGCCATCGAGCTATGAAAATCGAGCAGCGTCCACAATACTATGCCGGTCTGGCATAATGCAAGAACAGAAGCATCTCTCCTGGTTGGCCGACTATGGTTCGGATTCTCTTGCTCCTAGGGGTTTCGACGGTTTTGGAGCCATCCTCTGACCTTGGTTTCGAAGGTTTCGGCTCAGAACTCGGACAAGTTGTTGAAGGGTTTCACCTAGCTTCATCGCCAGAAGCTGCTTCTTGACCTAGAAGTCTTGCAAGGTGAAGTAATGCCTGCCTTGAAGACTAGTCGATTTGGCAAACCCACAAAAAGGAAAGCAGTGTGTAAAGCCCATCTACTGATGAACGGCATTTGTGAATGCGAACCCTTGGGGCATCCTACACCAAGCCATCTATATATGTATATATTTAGCATATATATATATATATATACACAATATAGTTGTGGTCACTGCACCCGGCCGAGGTCTCTCCATTAGGACAGTCCGCAGCCACCAAGCGATGCAAGAGCCAGGCTTGAAGTTCCCCCCCAAATTGGAGTTCCCAAAAAAATCCTAGGAAACCCTATAAACACCCTAAACCCTAAACCCTAAACCCCTTGCAAGGCCTCTGAACCTTAAAAACTCTATAGTTGGAAAAACCTTGCAGGTCTGTGGCAAGCCTGTTCTTGTCATCAACCTTCTAGCCCAGCCTTTGCAAGCCTCCGGCTAAAGCAGCGAGGCGTGCGTTCCAGGATCTCACCTCGTTTCCTTTTGATCTTAGGAAGCATTGTCTGCTCAATAGTTCAACTCTCTTGGCATCTGGAACAAGGGGTTTCTATCACTGCATGTCTTTAGGGTGAGCTGGCACAATGTTTGGGGTTTAGCCTTGTGAGCTGTGCAAGGCGAATGCAACAAACAAAAACGAGAAGTGCAGACTTGCCATGCCATGACATGTTGCGCCGGGTAGGCATCCGCTTCATTCCACTTCCCCTCCCCAAACCTACCGGGAGCAGGCAAGATCTCGGCACCTGCTCCGAATATAGCCCTTATATTCCCTTACTGGATCTTCAAACCCTGTAAACATGTCCCCAAACCCAAGAGCACAACCTTAGGGCCTTAGGGCCCAAGGAAGTCTCTTGTTTTGTCATACAGAACCCTAAACCCTAAACAAAAAACCCTAAACCCTAAACCCTAAACCGCGCGGAAGGGAGGTGCCCGGAAAGAGATCCGACGAAGCTACCCGTTCACGCAAGGGAGCCAGCCCAGGTTCCCCTGAGCAGAAGGGATGTGGCTCAGAAGGCTGAAGGTGGGGGCTCTCCGGACAAACAGGACCCAAAATCTTGGGTGGGGGGTGGGGGTTGCAGAGTCTTAGGTGCAGAGTCTTAGGTGCGCAGCAAGATGTGGTGTTCATTATGGAGCAGGTGCCACTACTTGATGTTGATGCCCGAAAGGAATGCTTTAACCACAGACTTCACAGCCCAGGGCATAGGCTCTGCCAGAACTCCAAAAAGCGGTTCCGGGCATGAGAGCTGTTTGCTTAGCTTCGAGGCCTAAACTGCGAAGTCCAAGGCTACGCCCGGACACAGTGGCAGACCCCTTGCTGTTGAGGGTGGAGCAAAAATCTTAGGATATCCTGGGTCCTGTAACTTTTCTTGCCTTAAAGCATTCTTGTCTTATGGAGGTGCCTGATATGATCTGATATGAGTGCAGGCATGAGGAAGTACCAGGCCATTTCACGGAAGCATGTTGCAAGAATCAACTATGCAACCATCGTGGGGTGATGGCTTTCTTGAGGCCTGATCGCAGACCACACTAAAGCCAACTTAGCCTTACAATCGAAAGAACCTGAACCTGGGAATTCTTGGGCTGCCAGGCGGAAGATCGTCCGAGGCCATTCGCTTTCCCCGGCGGCTCGCCGGGAGGGTGTCGCCCTGGAACTCCGACACTCCCCTCAACCCGGCCTGAGAATCGTCCAGAACTCCGGCAAAACTACCCTGAGCTCCGAAGTGCTGTCGACACTAGACGCTTTGAGGGTCGTGTGTGGCCTTGCGTAGGCGAGGCTCCGGGGCTTGCAGATGTTCCTTTTCACTAACTTGAAATAACTTGAGTTGTACTTGAGTCATACTCATGCTCCACATCAGCTTGTAGTCGAGAGCATGTCCCCTCCTCATTCCCAACACTTCTCTGCGTGAGTCGTACCAAGAATGCACAGCATGGGCCACGAGATGACCTTTACAACTCCGTCTCTGCCTGCACATGCGCCCGGTGCAGAAGCTGCTGGACATTTCCAATGGCCTCAACTGTGCTCCCAAAGACGCACAAGCACGACATCGCACATTGAGTGAACTCCGTGAACCTTTTTCGAACCTGCACAACTGCAACTGCACAAGGCCGCCAACCACGAACCTGTCTGATCTCTCTGTCTGAGGCCAATCATGGCCTTTTCAGGATGCGGACTGCTTCGGCTTTGGACTTTTCTGAGCAGGCGGCCGCATTGTGTGCCATCGTCCTTTGTTGGCTTTGCACCTGCTGCGCTCATGGATTGCATGCATGACAACGAATCTCCTGGTCGCAGCTGTGCACTCTAAACGCAGCTGTATGTCCAAGACTTGAAGAAGACAGGTACGACAAGGATGCAGCTACTTTCTGCAAAGCCGCCCATGCAGCGAGCTCGAGCTGCTTTGACGGCACTTGGCATGCTTTTGTTCTCTTCACTTTAGTACAGAAGACGCCTCATACAGAGCCTACAGAGACCTACGAGCCCGAACCCTCAACAAACCATCTGAGGTAAGGCTGTGGCTGGCTGCGCGCGTCCTGAATACAAAGCCACAGAGATTCACAGCATAGTTCGGAGTGTGGTGTTCACGAGTGCAATCATTTTGGCCACGCTGCGAGGAGAAAAAAAACATTGGTACCCAGTGGACACCGCCAGCAACCCCAAACCTAAAGTAGCAACGGCAACCCTCGAACTCAAATGATCATTGGTTTCTCCTCCGAGGGTTTAGGGGGCAATCTCTTTCTTTCTTTCTGCGCACCTAACCCCCCTCTACTGAGGGGCAATCTCTCTCTCTCTCTCTCTCTCTATGTGATCTTCTTCCTCTTCAGGGCTTGAGGGCGGATGGCATCCGATTCTCTGCTGGCGCCGGGTGCGCCCGAGTCTCAGGGTCGGTGTGGAAATCAAACTCTGTCGCTCGCTCTCCTCTGCTGCCTCTCTCACAAACGATCCACCCATGAAGCAGTTTCCTATATCTCAAATCGCAGCCGGAGGATGTTTAGCCGAGTTCATCCGTCTTCTTCAGGCTGGTTTAGGGCAAGACTGCGTCCGATGGGGGGTTTGTCGGGTTTCGCATGCTGCGCATGCTGACGTTCAAGGTGTCGGAGCGATTGTAGTTACTGTATACTGCAGGCTCCTTTCAGCTGCTGCGTTTTCTTCTTTCCGCTTGCCTCGGACATGATGTACCAAGACGGCGCGCGCCACGGGCTGGGGAGAGTCCTGTCAGCTCGGAGCTAAGGGAGGCGCCGAACCTAGCAAACCTTGCAGGCATGAAGCCCTGAAGTCCCAAACCCTCTCCATTCTGCGAACGCCACCTTCTGCCGTACTTGCTGTGAGGGCAAGAAAACACAACCGTGCAGAACCCAAGGTTGAATTCTTGAAATCTACAAACAAGAAGCCGTGAGCCAAAACAATCTCGAAGTCAGTCCTGCGAGGACTTCGGTCTTGGTGGCTCCGCCAACCAAGCGTCCCGCAGGCACTCCTGTGGGTGGTCAGGTGGTCTGGACTTTCTATGTCCTGGTGGAGGATATCGATACAATATATACAGTAGCTTTGCAAAAGGGGCCGCGTGAGAAATCCTGGCGGAGCTGCGTCACAGCCCTAAGAAGATGATTTTTTTCATCAGGCATCTTCAGTCCCTGAACTGCGTCTTGGGGTTTGGACCCACGGGGTCTAGATGCGTTGGCTCTTGATTTGTCTCTAGATGAACCATTCTATGTCGTCAACCTTTTCGCCTGTCTCTGAATCGTGTCTTGGACTCTTTCGTCCTTTCAACCAAGGACAAATACAACAAAAGCAAGCCGCCCCGCCTCTAACATTCAGAGTTTTGAGAAAACTGGAATTGGGGCCCTGGAGCTGCCTTGGACAAAAAATGCTGCTGCTGTCCGCTGAATATCACGAGAGGGGGGGTGGGGGGGGAAGCGGCCACATTTCTGACCAGACAGGTCTTGAAACAAGTTTCGGCGCTTGGTCTGGTCTAACGCAAACGGTGCGTCACTGAAACATGTGACAAATATGTTTGAGCAAAGGATGTCGCTGTTTTTCCTGCCCGTGTTTTGTTAACAAGAAGGAGCAGAAAGATAAACACCACAGATGGTTGAGCAAAACTTCTGGTTTGCCACTCGCCCCTGCATTCAACAAAATTCCCAAAAAGAAAACAGCAGGTCGACGTTGGACCGGGCCGATGGCAGCAATATGCCGGACACATTTGGGCAAGGCCTTGATGCCCATCAGCCCGGTTCTGCTTTAGGACCGCAGGCGCAGGTCGATAGCAACTTTTACCGGCCATGTTTCTGCGAAGCTCAGGGATTGCAAGGTGTCGTGTCGGAAGCTGACTTGCCGGCAACAACAGAAGAGAACTTGGGGACCGAGGCTTGCAATGTGTGTTTTGGGAAGATAAACTTGCGCCAAATGACCCTGAACCCTACGGCCTCAGCCCCTCAGATTATCAGTTCCCCTCCCCCACCCTGGTTCCAAGCCGGGAGGGCGGGTGCGGGGGGAGTCCAGATTCGGACTTCATATCCTGGAAGGGGCTTTAGAAAACACGGAAGGGATTGCATGAATAGATCAGCGGGTATAACCATACGCAATATACGTACATATGTATATATATATATATATATATACATAGAAATATGAAACGAAGACACAAGTCAAGAAACTATCTGCACCGAAGCACAGCTCAATGCTTCTGGCTGCACAAAAAGAGCAAAACGATCACAATACTATGCTAATTTTCGGAAACCCCCACATGACCTTATTGAAGAGCCTTCAATGAACAGCGGGCTTTCGTGGGGTGAAGACCCAGCCTGGGCGTCTGGGCGATCGAACTCGTTGACCTTGCTTGGGCAAAACAAATGGCTCTATGGGGGCTTTCCCAAAATTCAGGCGTGCGTGAAATGCATGCTGCTGCAGACAATGATTGGGGTGTCAGAAGATTCTGCCATGGAAAGCTGGATGCAAAGCAGCGGGTGCATGACTTTGCTTCATGGAACCACACAGAAATCAGACAAGCTTGGCTTTGTTTGTATGGGGTTGCTCCTCCCTCGAAGCCAAGTTTTGCCATTGTCATCCGTTGTTCCCCGCAACCGAACATCGAGGCTATCGGATCGTACGTGTGCACAAACACAAAGCGTCGTTGCCCAGCGACTTTGCTCCTCGCATGAGAGCACCCTTTCTTTCAAGCTTGGCGACGGCAGGGGAAGAGACCCACCAGAAATCTATCGGAACCAGGATGTGCCCCACAGACCATGACTCCTCAAACCTAGGCCCTTGTTGGACACAAACCCTGACGTGGTCACACCCCTATGCGGTGCCTGTGGGATCCATGCACTTGGCAAACTACCCTTTGCTTATGTCGGAGATCACTCATATGCCATGGCCCCCTAAACCCTAAACCCTAAACCCTGAACCCTGAACCCTGAACCCTAAACCCGCCCGAGGCCGGAGCCGCCAGCATCCGTGAGACAAGGCGTTGTGCCCCCGGTTCCTTCTCGAAGACCGCGTGGCTGAAGCTGACCCTGACCCAAGGGATGGGGTGCTTCTGGTGATGCGGGCGGCATCTGCGCTGCATTTAGCTTCAAGAGTATTATACAAGAACATATTGCTCTCAGATGTGTAGGGTTGGCTGACACCCGCACCTGCAATCAAGGCTTGGGGGTGTGGCATATATGCACTCACAAGCGACCGAGTGAAGTGAGCACGAAAATCGTGTGTTCGTGAGTTCTATGACCAGTCGCTCAGTCAAGTGCCACTGTGCAGCTAACGTGGATGGGCCACCCTGCTGAGGTGCCATCTCCCTCTAACTTTTGTGAGTCTCCGTGCGCGATGTAGACTCGAATAGACTTCACTTAAGAATCGAGGCAAAGTGGGAAAAATGAAGTCGCGTCTCCCACTGCCCAAGACTTCGCTCTTTTCTTCCTTCTCGGCTGGCTGGTATGCGGCATTACCCTATACATTGGCAAAGCCCGGTAGCCATGTCCAGCAGTGGATTTAGCTCCTTTACCTATCTGAAGCTCTAAAGCTGGGCCCAACACGCCAAAGCTCATCTCACGCTGGAGACCACACGCGCGCTCGGGAAGCTCTCCCGTGGGCTTTGCACGCTTTGCGCCTGCAGAAAGTGCCTCGGCCGGCTTTGCATTTCAAGCTTGGTCGCATCAACTAGCTTTGTTGGCTGAATCTGATGAGTACTGCGTGACAGCACCAACATGCACCAATGCTCAAAGCATCTCAAAGCGATGCCCAATGCAGGGAGGGCGCTGTACATGCTGCCAGCTCGTGGGTGTTGTTGGAGTGAGGCGTTCAGAAGGCGTCTTTGGGGTGGGGTTGGGGGTCATCTTCGGGTTGGGGAGGGGGCTTCTCGTTGCTAGCCCTGCCCTGGCCCTGTCGTCGGGCTTGCCGCCTTGGGCTGAGGGATATCGGTCCCAGTTGGCGAGGACGTAGTCCACATGCACGGGATATAGCCTTGCGTGCAGCTGATAGCACATGCAAAACAGTGACAGCCCCGAACCACCTGAACTCCCTTCCTGGCTAGTCCGAGAAGCTTGAGTGGAGGATTGCGGAGCTGCTTGGCCGACGGCTTTGTGGAGTACCTCAAGATTTATGCATGTCATGAGTGTCAAAAGTCTTATTTTGCATCGACGGAGGGACACATATCCCATGACTCTGCTGCTCATGACTTGAGAACTTGATCTAGTCCTTACGAGCCGCAGGTGAAAGGCTTGATGCAGCATCTGTCCAAACAACCACCCTGCAACAACCAGTCCGCACTGCCGCGAAGTAAATGTACCCAGTCCGAACCATATGCCTGCAGCCCCGCAAGCCCTGGGCACCACGACGTCTCGGAAAAAACTATGCATGAAAGGGGCATGGAGCGTGCCAGCCGCAGCACGTCCTCCTTCGTGCGCATTTGCCGCTTGCCGGAGGCCGCTGGCTTGGCCAACCTTGGACAACAAGCGCAACGGCCATGCAACTCTTGGGTCAAGCGGAGAATGCAACTTGGATTTGTTTCTCAGTGTGCCAATGTGCAAGTGTGAGTGTGAGTGTGAGTGTGTATGTGTGAGTGTGTGTGTGTGTGTGTGTGAGTGTGTGTGTGTGTGTGTGTGTGTGTGTGTGTGTGTGAGTGTGTGTGTGTGTGTGTGTGTGTGTGTGTGTGTGTGTGTGTGTGTGTGTGTGTGTGTGTGTGTGTGTGTGTGTGTGTGTGTGTGTGTGTGTGTGTGTGTGTGTGTGTGTGTGTGTGTGTGTGTGTGTGGGTATGTGTGTGTGTCTGTGTGTGTGTGAGAGTGTGTGTGTGTGTGTGTGAGAGTGTGAGTGTGAGAGTGTGAGTGTGAGTGTGAGTGTGAGTGTGTGTGTGTGTGTGTGTGCGTGCGTGCGTGCGTGCGTGCGTGCGTGTGCGTGTGTGAGTGTGCGAGTGAGCGTGTGGCGTATGAATGCGTGAGCACGTGCGCGCTACCGTGTTTGTGCCGGTGTGTGTGGGCGTGCTGTTTGCCTTGCAACCGCATTCCGAGGTGCACGACCCGGCTCCCCTCAATGTGCAATGGTGTTCATCCCGTCCAGGCATTGCATGTCAAGACAAGTGTGCTCAGCAACACAACACTTCCTACAACAAGCAGCAAGCAGCTCGCTTCACCAGAAATACTTTCGATGTTTCCCCAACTATAAGAACCAAGGACCAAGGGGCGGAGCGGGCTGGGCACTTGGCGCCCGAAGGGCCGCTTGGCTTGGTTCCAGAAGCGCAGGCCTGAGGTTTTTTTGAGTTTTGCAGGGTTGAGAGAGATGTTGAGTGGGAAGAAGCAGAGGTTTCGGTTTGAGGATCTGCTTGTTGGCGCCGCGATGTGCGTTAGAGGGGGAGGAAGCATGCACAATGGAAGCATGCACAATTGCTGGCCCCTTCTGCAAGCTAAAGCGCTGTGCTCGAGGTTGTAGTCCTGAAGGCAGGTATATGCCAGAAGACGAGGCGCTGATAGCCCCCAGACCAACGACCTTGAGACCAGGCAAACAGAGAGACCCTTGGATGGGTGACATAGGTTGCTTTCTTCACCTCATACCATGCGCAGAAAGCCCTGCCGAGACACGTTGGCGGCTGCAGCATGGGTACTCATGCGCGCCGTGCTGTTTTTGGACTGGCCCTGCAACATCAACAGGTTGGGGGACTGCGCCTGCATCTGGAAATTTCCCGGCATGCGAGCTTCGATTTCTGGTTTGTGGAAGGGCGTTGTCACTGGGTCGGGGCGCTTGGGTTCCGGGGTTGTCACTGGGTCGGGGCGCCTGGGTTCTGGGGTTGTCACTGGGTCGGGGCGCTTGGGTTCTGGGGTGTGGGAGCTTACTGCGGCAAAGCCGGCGGGGCTAGTCGGTTTGGAGAGGCGGGGGCACTTGGCCTCCGGCTGCTCGTCCTCTTGTGTGTCGGGAAAGTAATCGTTCTCAGCCGGAAGGGGCATTGCATTCTGATCTTCCGACAGCTTCCGCTTGAACGGCTCGAAGGTTGCTGCAGCGACCACTTTCGGAGACGGCTTGTCGACTGCGCAAGGGTCGGGATAGAGCAGTGGCTGCGCTGCCAGCCGGGAAGAGACGTCCCATGCCGAGGACTCCACATGCCTCCAATCATCCATTGCCACATGCTGCGCCTGGTCGGCAGTCTGCCTGTGACCTCCACAAGGTGCAGACCGGGAGGCCATTCCCGTTCCAACCTCGGCCGTGCGGCCCTGAAAAGGTGCTTGTGCCGGTGCAGACTGGGGCAGTGCCTCGAGCTTTGTCCGGAGAAGGGAGGCGTCTGTCTTTGCACAGGAGAGGGCGCGGCGCACCGCCGCCAACTCGGCCTCCAGGTTCAACTCGCGGTTTCGGACGGAGGACAACTCGGCCTCCAGCTGCTCACGATCTGCCTTCGGATGCATTTTTCCGCAGCTTTTGTAGAGCGACTCGCCGCATGCACAAATGCTCAGTACGGGTATGTATCACGAGAGGCTATGCGTTATATCAGCAGGCACACACATCAAGCTGTTGCCATGTCTGTCTGCAAGCGCCTTCGCTTGGCGCAGAGAAGCCTGGAGCTCTGCATTGCTTGTTTTCGTGGCTGCCAGCTGACCACCTGAGCTTTGCATTACGCCGCTTATTCTGCGAACCCGCTTGTTTTGTCCCAGAGAAGCCTGAAAAGGGTTGTTTGGGATATCGCGACCTGTACTCTTGCGAAGGGGCGGATGGCTTCCAGCTGCTGCGCCAGTGCATCGTGCTCCTTTATGAGGTCCTTGACTTTGAAAGAATCGAAGCGTACATGCTCCAGACTGTACCATATGGGGTGCAGCCGTGACGCTTTATCCCTGCTCGTCTCAACTACGACGCTCGATGCATTTTGTTTCCGAGCTGCTGCTTGCCGCTGGGCAGTCAACTTCTCCCGGTCATAAAGAGCTCGGAGGTTGCTCAAGTCCTTTCAAGGAGAAAGCGCTGTAGCCTGGACCCGCCCGCAACTTCCTACAGCCTCTTCACACCGGGAAGAGTGCCGATTGTAGCATGTCTGCAACGATGCTAAGCGCGCGAAAGTCCGGCTTTAGGACACGCCTGTGGCTGTTGCAAGGTGTCTTCTGCATCTGTACAGCACAGTACTACGAGGCTAAATGGGGTCCATACACACCGACAGTGGATGCACTTGTAGCGTCCTGGCGCAAGCTCTCCACTTCTTGCACCCGGGTAATGACTTCGGATTTGGCCTGCCTCTGCTGGAGATGGCTCAAAAGTAGACGTTGGAAATTAGACTTAAGTGGCTTAAGGTCGAACAAAGTGCCCAAACAACGAGCCTGCACATGCGCGACAAGCTGAGCCCATTCCCTGTCAACTCCGAAGCCTTCTCTATAAGCTGCCGCCCAAAAGCTGAACCTCTGACTTGGCTTGCTCCACAAGTTTCGCCTGGCAAGGTAACATCCTCAACGGAGGCTCCGGAGGGTTCCTCTTTTAGGGCTCTTTTTTTGCCACCCGCCTGGCTCGTTTAGGGTTTAGGGTTTTACAGCCAACTGTCCACCAGCTCCTAGGAAGAATCCTCTTGAAGCTACCAAAATCGACCAGAAAAAAAGAGGAACTTCAGAGTGTCTGATTGCATCTGATTCTCGCATCTCGAACACTTTGAGGGCTCTGTGGTAGTCTGGTCAGATCTTGTAGCCGCTTCATGGCTCGAGGGTGTCAATCCGAGCTAACAAGGCTCTTAAGTCCCTCACGGTAATCGCACGCGGTGCGGTCCAACAAGCGCGGCAACTCCTTATCTTAGTTCCTACTCCTGCCTAGTCGTTGCCGCTGCTGCTAGGGTTCGTACTGATGCTGGCCACCTCCACGATCCCCTAGAGCAGATCTAGCACAAAGCCCGCAAAACCGCGCAGTATGGCCTGATGCTGCATAGCTGACTCGAACTCCGAAAGCTGTCGCAGTGAGCTCTGCTTTTGTGTTGCTGCCGCGGCCGCCAGCATACCTTCCCAAGCTGGGGCAGGGCACAATGGTCGCGATACGCAACCGACATAACGTAAAATCGCCGCACTCTGCAGCTGTGGCACATTGCTTCTCTGCCTGTGCCAGTGTTTCCTTTGCCAGCTGGTGGCGGGATTCTGCCTTCAAGCCGGGATTTCGGAAGTTCAGGTCTGGTGAGTCTAGTGCTGGCATGTTTGACAGGCACATTTGACGATGCCCCCCCGGCTCACTTCCAGAGCCCTGGAATCCCAAGATTGTCGGCCCCATACAGCCTCCAAGTCCCCAAGTTGCACGTGCACGGAGGTCACGCCTCATTGGCCGCCCGTTCCGCTGCCGTCCGCTCGGCGGATCGCCACTTCACCTATCCCGCCAACTCGGTGCAGAGCTTAGGGTTTAGGGTTTAGGGTCTAGGGTGTAGGGTTTAGGGTTTAGGACTTCGGATGGCAGATCAGGTAGGCTGCTAGGCTCCAGATCCCTGAACAGTCTACGGCTTGAGCTGTAACTTTGAAGCTGAGGCTCTGGAAGGCACTTATCGTGTGAGTGTACACAATGGGATTTCAAGCCGCCCACGCACACTCAAGCTCACAAAGTCATCTGTATCGCCCTGAGACGCAACAGATTCTTCGAGGAAGGCCTGCTGAACACCGCAATTGCCGCAATCCCAAGAAACCGTCCATAGGCCCTGAAACAAGTCCATACAGTATAGACCCAAAGCTCGAACACAGGCTTGACGAATACGAGGTGCCGGTAAACGTACGCTGTCATTCCATGTGAAAAAGGCCTTATCATGAGTTACGACCCTTCACACATCTGACATAACCGGTGCTCCGAGATTCTTTTGTGGAACGCCCAGACTTAGCACTCGTGGGTAACAGCGAGGAGAAACTCTGCGTTAAATATCCAACAGCCCCACCCCCTTGGGGACAAAGATGAAAAAGTCGCACGCCCCCCCCCCCTCCCCTCCCCGTCCCCTCCCCCCCCCCTCCCCTCCCCCCCCCCCTCCCCTCCCCCCCCCCCTCCCCTCCCCCCCCCCCGCCCCCCCCCCCCCCCTCCCCCCTCAAAAAAACAGAAGACATCAAAATTAAATAAATAACCACGGTAAAACAACCTCCAAAAAGCCAAAGCTCCCCCACAACAAGTAACAAACACCCGGGGGGGGGAAAAACTTCGGCCAACATTGGAACAAACGGTTTACAAGCCAAAATGACACGACAAAAATTGGGACCTCGGCCCGGAGCTCGTCGTCCTTGGCCCGCGCTGCCGCCACGGCCCGGGTAGCATTGGCCCATTCCTTGGTGTGTGCTACTTTGGTTCGAATTATCTTGTTTAAGGATCCATAACCTTGCTTGTAGCTATCCATGAGCTTCGGCAGAGGGTGCGCGAGTACGGCTTAGGGGCAAAGGCTTCAGACGGTCGTTCTGTTTGGATTTACAGGCGATTTCGAAGTCGAAGGCCCCAACAGCCTGCACAAACAAACCTCAAGCTGCATTCCAGCTTCTGTCTCTGCCGCAGTGCTCTCATTTCGTAGGCGATCCTCGAGCTCAGGAAAACGCCCATTCAATCACTACATGGGTTGAGTAGGGTTATCCTACCTTTCCGAAACAGGGTTATCCTACCTTTCCGAAACGGGAACTTAACTCAAAGCACTCACAAAGTCTCCATGCCATCAGCTACACATGCATGCGCAGCCGGCTCAGCTTCTGAAGTCAGCTCTTCATAGCACATAGACAAGGCTCGTGTAAGTTCTCTAAGTGCTTCTCTGAGGCCGCCATTGCCCCGAAGTGCTCCAGCAAAGTCCATGGTACTACGCCATTGCCCAGACTCAACGGGTAGCCAGTGTCTTGACACACTTGCTTCCCGAATAAGGACGCTTGAGCCGCATCACACCACGGACACGCCAATTTGGGGCTAACTCCTGTGACCCAAGTAAAGTCAAAACAAGCCAACAAGGTAGTTGACAAGGTCGTGCCTCGCGTCGCAGAGTTTCTGCCGGATTTCTTTCATCTTGGGTGATCCGACCCAGTTCTCACCTGAGCGTTCAAGACGAGTGATTTGTTTCGCTATTGGGGCTGACGCGATCCAATGTCCAGAGTTGGACGCTGAACCCTTGCCTTCCTTGATTGCAATCATAGCGAGTGCTGAGTACTATGGAGTTTGGAGCTGGCAAATACCTCCTCTCCTCACCACCAGAGTTGACAAGCGAGTCTTGTTTGGATGAATGAAGGGAATAGAGAGTCGAGGAACAATCTGACACATGCTTTGTAGTGCCCCCTTTTCAGTTCAAGTGGAGTGCAACACAAACATGCCTGATTGTTGCAAGACATATACAGAAAGCTAACTTCGGTGTACGTACTGCATGCAGCATCTCTATGAAATCTTTGAACCGCATCAGTAGTCTATTGTCACGTTCTGGAATTCAGTGGAATTCAGGACTTGTTGCTGGGATTCATGCTGTGTAGGTTTTTTGTGCTTATGGGGTGGCCGTGGGCTTGGAGTAGTGGAGGACCCCAAGCTTGTTCCTAGACTCAGGAAACCCTGTACTTTATCTTGGATGTATATGGAACTCGCAACAAGCATTACAAAGGAAGCTAGAAACACTTGTACACACGCACACGCATGTGTATCTTTTAGTGCACGTTTGAAGGGAGAGCGGTCTAACACACACACGCTCAGAATCAAGCTGACGGGTAGAAGCTCTGAGACACCGACCGGGTTTGTCGTCAAAAAGGCGCCCGTTATACGGGAACGTGCCTTGGATGAGAGCACATTGGAGGTGTGGGCAAGCAAAATACTGTGAGGAAGCACTTTCAAGTGGATGCTTGTGCTTGATAAGCAAGCAAAACCCTACTCGCAGGGCCAGCAGTGGTGACCCAATTCAAGACTGGACAAGCACTCACGAGGCAATGCTATGTAAAGCTCTAGTTTGCGCCTTGCCGCAGGAAGCCTACACCACGGCTCTCTGAGATTTGGAAGCAAGCAGGCACAGCTATGCAAGCAGCTTTCAATCAGGAGCTTTCTATCTGGGCTCGCTGTGTAGATGTCTGTGTGAGCGTTCTACAAGAGCCACCAGGGACCCTGCCAGTCAACATCTTGTAGGCGATAACGCCAACGGCGAAAATATCAGAGGCTGGCGAGTACTTGCCTGCGTGGTGGAGCCATCGTGTAAACCCCCTAGCACTGAGCACTTCTTACGCGACCCTACACTCTATCCAGCAGGCTTGTTGGAAGTATCACATAATTACCACCCCACCCTATGTAACATGACCAGAAAATACTAAAGCGCTAAACAGGACTCTCACGCTTGTCACGCGCGGGGACTCCAGAGTTTACGACTCAGGGAGTGGGGAAGAGAATGCTGAAAGGTTTGTTGATGAGGTTTGCCTGTGCAGGAGCTAGGTCCTCAAAACCTAGTGGTTTTGGTGGGTATAACTGTATAACTTTGGTCTGTCAGCAGAGCAACCGCTGATGGCACGCCAAGAAAGGCCAAGTCGGCAAGCCACCAGCCAACAAATCCCCGCATACAACTCAACCACGCCGAAGCAAAATCCCCTCGCTTGAAACTCTAAGGGCCCTAGAAACTCTCCTCTGCCTCTGCCCACGGGTTTAGGGTTTAGGGTCGAACCCCCCCAAGTGTCCCTGTGGGGCCCCATTCTTTGGAGTATTTACAAAACCACACAGCTTGAAATGAAGAAGCCCGAACATGCCTTGTAGTCGGATTTAGGTCCCTTCAAACATTCGGGGTAGAGGTTCCCTTTGAAATCTCCAGAAAACCAAAGGCGTACGCCCCCCGCGCCTTCGTAGGCTTCTGGTGCGATGTACTGGTCCGTGCCCAGCACGTGCTTGGACTTAGGGCCGGTTGAGTTCCTCGCAGCGAGCTCACGGGGGGTTTAGCACCTCTTTTCTTTTTTTCCCTCTTTTGGGGCTTTAGGGTTCCTAAACCCCATAGCGCCCTTTTGGGGAGCTTAGGGTTCGTGAACCCTATGGCACTTTTTGGGGGTTGAGGGTTCCTAAACCCTAGAGAAACCCCGAAGCCCCATAAAACCGGTAGATGCCGAGGCAGGAGCCTAAAGGGCGCTTTACGGGTTCAGGATCCTCTTCAGAGCGAGAGCCCCAGGTTGAGCAAAAGAGGTCCAAAAAGGTCGTTCTGAATGGGTTGCGGAAGGCGAAGGGGGGGGGCCTATGCTATATCTCTCTGCGAGAAACAAGTTACTACTCCAGCGGACTATGGAACGACTGGGGGAAAAGTACTACGTGGAATTCGCCTGAAATGGGTCTTCGCAGACTTAGCGGCATCAGCAGGCTTGGGACATCAAGATCTTTGGAGTAGGCTCTGCGCAGTTGAGGTGTGAGGAGCTTAGGACACACCCTCTTAATCCTCTAAAGCCTGTACGGCCCACATGGCGACTCGCAAGCCATTCGGACCACCGAGCTAGGATCCATAAGGCCCGCGCCACTCTTCGACCGTGTCAAAATCGATGAGCTTGACCTGACCCAGGGCTCCCTTTCTCAAAACTTCAAGGTTGCGAGATGGTGCACCCCAGAATTCTTTGCAAACCCCCAGACATTCCGGCTACATTCCCTGAGAAAAAAAACAGCTTCGCAACAATCTGAGGCCCAGGCTCTCTCCACGGCAGATTATCTGTCCACCACCCTAGTCTAAATTGCTTTATCAGGATTCCAATCCCAAACCTGACTACCTGACCCTCTGAGGCATCGACACCAGCCCCGGGGCCTTGGCTGCTCTGACGCACTGAAGGCTGGGTATGTTTTCAGGAGAACATGCGCGGGCCCATCTACTAAAAGAGCTGAGCTGACAAGCAGCGGACACACAACGCAAATCCTTCAGAGACAACACGGTCAGAAGTCGATGACTACACGCCCTCCATATAGGAGTCAAGTTACAGTTGCCAACACAAGAAGGCTCGTGACTCCAAGGGTGTCAGAAGCAAAAGCACCTGGTTTAGACGGGGCAAGCCGAGCCCCCGCACTGGTGGCCAGGTTTCGGCGAATGTGCGCAGGACCTGCTCTCCAGACATCATAAGCTCCAGAGATCTATCAGGTGAAAGCGCCCGGAAGCCCTGAACTCCTACAGTGCTACAGTATCAGTAAAAGTTACCCCCGAGAACTCCTCAAGACTCCAAACGCCCCCACTCGGCGCTGCGAAGCCGTCCTGAAAGCTTCGTAGGCCCCAAATCAGGGAGTGGTTCATGTGGGCATCGGTGCGACGAGCACTCCAGGGCCCCTGCACTTTGGTCCAGGCTTGTTGAGCATCACATTCTCCAGCTTCAGATCCTTCACGGCTTGCAGAATGCAGGGCTTTCTCGGCGGCGCCAACAAGCCACGTCCCAGAGAACCCCCCGTCGTGGAGATTTTGGGCCTCCTTTTGACCAGGGGGGCCCGTTAGTGTCCCCGCCTAAACCCTCAGCAGCCAGTTGCCTGAGTTTGGCTTCTCTCTTTGTCCATCCGAGAGTCAATGGACTGAGTGCACAGTGGGATCTTAAGTCATATCACATATAGCAACTGTAAGCAGCCGGAGTCAGTCCAGTCCGTGCAGTATGGATTTTGTGTTTGGCAGAGAAGAATCGAGTCGTTTGCTATGGCCTAGGTATTACTGGTGTATGGAGCACAGCGTGTGTGTGGAAAATGTATGTAAACCAAAGACGTGCAATAGAAAGTTTTGAAGATTTTAAGGTTTTTAAACCCTAAACCCTTCTGCCATAAATAATAATGTTTGTGACTGTGACGATGGCAGCCGTGGTGTAGACCTACAGAAAGGAAGCAGATATAATAAGTCATATATAACCTAACACCCAGAACTCAATCATGCTTGATTGCTTTTAAAAGGACAAGAGTTATGTGGTGATTCTTTTTTTTTCACGAGCCGTGCAGGTCAGGCTCCATAGCACTGTAGCCTCTGAGGACCACAAGCTCCCGGTTCCGAGCCATGCCCCGTGAAGATAATCGCAGCAGGTCCAGGTCGCCTCCCCGAATTCAAGCCAGAATGTGGTGGCGATGGTGCTGGATCAAGCTCGAGGAGAATGGCACCGTGCTATGGAAGTGGACTTGGTGGTACGATCCAAGAGACTCTGGCTAGTGATGCTTAGCATTTAGCATTCAGAGATCTGAAGATCCGTGGAATAGCTCCATCGAGTCACTAATTCATTTTACCCCAGTCAGTGTGGGTACTGCCAGTCAAAGATACGAGCGAGCGACTAAATCTTTGTAGAAGATATCGCTTTTTTCTCTGAGTCTTTCGACAAGTTTGCAGAGAAGCAAAAGACTATCCTTTTCTGGATCACATTCCATTCAGAATGTAGCATAGGAGAATTAAGATATTGCATGCCACTGCTGGGAGACGAGAGCAGTGTGATGTCTGGGCGGGACCTGAAAAGGGCCCGCCCAGAAATGGCAGGACCAGCAATGGGCCTGCCAGGCCGTGCTGTTGGAGTGGAGGGGGAGGGTGGGGGTGCAGCCGTTGTTTATTTGAGCCATGCATGTCATGTGAGCCGTCGAGACTTTAGGGCGTCATTTTCAGTCTGGCCAGTAGTGCACAGGCCAAGAGCATTGCCAGTCGGAAGTCTGCAACCTGTGAGCCGGCGATGCCGAAGGCGGCCCAAGGCCAGTTGTAGACTAGGAGCCGTTTGCTGAGCTTTTCGGCTGTGCAGATGGCGAAGAGAAGCGGGGCCGAGAAGAAGAGTGCCCGGAAAAAAAGTTGGGAGCTGAAGCACCTGAAGAAGAAGCTGAAGAAGGAGAAGAAGAAAAGGCGAGCTGCCAAGAAGAAGGCGAAGAAGGAGACCTGCAGCTCTTCGTCGTCGACGTCGACGACCTCCAGCAGCTTCCAGGACCAGCCCAGCAACAGACGGAGGGCAGAAGGGCGGGCTGGCAGGGGAGAAGAAGTGCCCTCTAGCAGCCGAGATGGCGGCAATGTCCAGTGGCGAGGAAGCCAGAATTGGAGCCGTGGGCAAACGTGGCATTCCGAGAGGGGCAGAGGCTGGGACCAGCACGGTTACGGCTCCAGCAGTGGCCGTGCTGCTGATGGACAAGGAGGAAGAGGAAGCCAGCACCAGTCTGGAGGCCGTAATGCCAACAACAGTGGTGGTGGTGGTGGTGGCGGCTGGCAGAGAAGTGACTGGAGCCGACGATCGAATTGGTGGTCGTCGAGCAACCGCCAGTCCAGTGGTGATGGCGGTGGTGGCGGCTGGGGAAGAAGGTGGAGAGACTTTCAATGCTGCAGCTGCCACTCCGGTACCCGCCCCAGCAGGCGAAGGAGTCATGCCGAATGCAGGGGGCAATGCCGGCCCGGTTGCGGAGACGGTGCATGTTGAAGAGATAGCGACCCCGGCAGAAGATGATGCTGCAGCTACGGGCCCGGCGGCAGCAGTCCCCAAAGCTGTGATCCCGAAAGCTCCGGCGGCATTGCCGAAGTCCCCTCCTCCTCCGGAGCTGCTCGAGGCAGTGGCTGCCATGCCGAAGTTGCCGGCAGCTGGAGCTCCGACTGTGGCAGTGAAAGCTCCGCCGGTTGCTTGGAGCTCATGGCAAAGTTGTATGTTAGACATGCCATTTGTGGTTGTAGTTGCTGTTGTTGCCAGAGTGAAAAAGCAGCACCCAGGTTCCACTGCTTTCTCCTTCGGTTCCTCGGCATGCGATTACAAACTTGGTCTATCCTCTGCAAGAGCTTCAAACACTAGAGCAGGTATTGGCCTGGCAGCGATGGATTAACTCGGGACCTACACAACCTCAAATCCTCAGTGAAGTCCAAGAATTTGTTCGTTGCAACAGGAACAGTCCGCTTTTCGTCTGCTCCAATCAAACCGAGGAAGTCAGCTGCCCGCTACCTGCGTGTTTGATATGTCTATCCAGCTCTTGGATATGCTGTCAGCCAACCCGGCGGCGTCTGCTGGTTTTGGAGAACGGGCACTTGCTCGAATGTGGCCACGGGCCATTCCACGCCGAATGCCTCAGGCGTATGGTGGCATCGTCCCGGCCATCATCGCCAACCTGTCCGATTTGTCGAGCCGAAGTGAGCCCAGCCTGGGCTGGCAACATCATGACAGGAGCAGCTCGAGACCTGCCGAAGTTCGTCCTTGCAGAGGCAGCAAATCCACAGGTGCCCGGCAGGGGCATGGGCGTCCGGTTGCCCCCTCGGGACGACAGCCTGCCGGCAGCATCCATGGAAGGCACAACTTCCTCGGCGGCAACTGGGGCCGGAAGCAGCAGACCGCCGCCTGAGCCCGCCTCTGGAAGTGGGAGATTAGAAGAAGAAGCCGATGATGCTGCAGGTGCTGGTGGTGCGGCAGCTGTTGTGTTTGGCCCTTCTCCCCGACCGGAGGGCTTTGAAAGCCCGGAGGAGGCAGATGAGTGAGCCTAGGCTCCAAACCGGAGCAAAGCTCTGCCGGGCATGCCTTCGCTTGAAATCAAAGCCGAAACCTCAGAGGTGTGCGGCTTCTAGGGCTCAGGGTTAAAGATGCAGGCTGCAGATATGTGGCTTTAGGCCTGAAAGTTTGGGACCAGCAGGTCTGAACACAGGTTCTTGCAAGTGTGAGGTAAGTCCTGTAATCTAAGCCCGAAAGCAGAAAGCGAAAGGCTGGCCTGTAGCTGCCCTGCCGGAGGCAGGATGAAGCTTGATATAAGAGTTGCAGCTTGACGACTGTGAGTTTTTCAGCTGCAGATGTGTTTCACGAACGAAGTGCGAAATTCGGTCAACGAAGTCCAGATCAGATCTTTTGCAAAAGTCGCTAAAAAAACTTCAAGAGAGCCGAGCCAGGAAGCCTGCTGCAGATGTTGTGGGGTGTCTGTGTGTGTTTGTGCGACACAGGAGTTGCACTTGCAGCAGTCGGAGCTTCTTGCTGTGTGCTGCTTTACAAGCGAAGCGAATGTTGCAGTCTTAAATTCGCGAGTCTTCCACCTTGCAAATAGGTTCCTTTGGAGCAAGAAGGGAGCCCTGTGGGTCAGTGGGAGGGTGTGGGGGGACCTGCAAAGGTCCCCCCACTGAGGGACCAGGAATGGTCTCTCCAGGGCATGCTTCTGGTGTGGACTGCTGTGAAGGCACACATTTGATTTTTCACGATTTTGCGACAAGGGGTTTTCAGTTGTCCACAGTTTTGTTTGCAAGCATCTTCCTCGAAACAATGCATCTGTAGCTTGCAAGCACATGTCAATGTCAGGCCAGAGAAGTTTAAGCTGACGGATGCTGCTCTCTTTCAGACAAGACAGACAACGAAACCGAGATATGCATTTCAAGTGAAGTGGAGCTGCCTGCACTTTCGCGTCTGCTTCTTTCGTTCACAGGCAGTCTCCGTGTGCATGGAGCAATGTTTTTGCAGCCTTTTCTCTTTCAATCTCTGCTTGAGCAGTCACAGTGCCTCGTTCCTGCAACAGCCATGGAGCAGACACCGCCTGCGAAGAAAAGGCCAGCTCCTTTTGACACTCCTCCACGACTAGAACCAAAGCGACGGCGAGTGGATCAGGAATGTCAGAGGCTGCAAGAATCGCTGCGACTGACCCTGCTGAACTTCTTGGATTTCGCAGAAGCAATGGCCAGGGAGGCTTTGGCTGGGCTAGCTGAGGAGCCACGAGATGAAACCAATCCAGATGATGCCGAGACAGTTGTTCTGGAGCCTGAGGCAGAGAGCAGCAGCGACTAGGCGTTTGCAGTTTTGATGCGTTTGCCAAGCAGTCTGTGTTCGTATGTCTTGCCAGAACTGCCGAGCCGAGCTTTGTGCCTGCAGAGCGGAAAGAGAGCGATGACAAACTCATGCTTGAAGGCTGCTTTGTGTATATGCCTACTTCACAGGGCGATTGCACTGCTGCAGCTTGTGAGTGAGAATGTGCAAGCGCTTTCCGGTGCATGCCTTGCTTGACAGCCAGAAGCTTTTGCATAGTCCCGGTGTTGTTTTTGTCAGCTGATGTCTGATTTCCTTTCTAAAAAGTTGCTTCAGGTGAAAAGAAAAAAAATCAGGCAACAGAATGAAGGAAGACTTAGGGTGCTGCGAGCCTCGCGGGAAGGCATCATGTCTGCGAAGCCATGGGCAATGTTCCACTTCGTAGGACGAGGAGAGCGACAGGAAAGTTGCAGACTGCTGCTTTTTGACAGAAAGCTGAAATTGCAGAATTGTTCGACTGGCGAGCTTCTCGAGCTTCCGGATGGTGCCGAAGTGAGCCCGGAAGAGTGTTCAGTCCTGCTGCCTCCTAAGGAGGACGAGCAGGATGCAAGCACAGTTCCTCTGCAGGATTTTTTTCAGATGTCCCTGGGGACAGACGAGGACGGAGAATGCAGTGTGCTCAAAGAAGGCAAGACCTTGACCTCCTGGGAAGCTTTGAAAGGTGCCAGAGACACCGTGGCCCTGGAGTTTCGGCTGCTGACAGAGAAACCCGTCAAGTGGCAGACAGAGTGCTACCTCTTTCACGTCCCCCTGTGCCAAGTTCCAGCGTCATCCGTGAGATTTCCCCTGCGACGGTTCATTGATGCTTTGGGTGGGGCCAAGAGAAAGAATTTCATCGGGGGCTCGATCAATACTTGGCGAAGTTTCGTTCAGAAGCATTTCGTGCTTCGTGCCCCGGACGACGAAGAGCAGGAAGCATGTCAGCACATCAGCAAATCTTCCTGGAGCGGCCTGATGCGATCTGCAAAGAAGAGAAAGCAGGGAGAGGAGCAAGAAGAGGCGGGGGAGCAGTACGAGGCTCACTGTTCCGTATTCGCCTTGCTGGCCCTACTGAGCAGTTTCGCCGTCTCGCTTCGTTCCACCAGTTCCTGGAATCTGCCTGACCAGATCGTGAGCGACAAAGCAAGAAGCATGCTAAAGGCACTCCTGTGGCATTTTCTCGACAAGGAATTTTCCAGGGAAGCGGATGTAGAGGAAGACGGAGTCGATTTCGTGGTGGAGTGGCGAAAGGTAGAGGGGCAGGTCATGCTGAATTGGCACAAACTCTGCGAGAGCGAACAGTGCTTGGTGAAGATGTTTCCGAAAGAGGAGGAAGAGATCGAGCTGACGAGAGCCCTGCTGCGACTGCGAGAGCAGGAGAGCAGCAACCGAGTAAGTGCTGGAAGACGACGTGGCTGCAAGGAGCTGCTGTCCTTCTTGTTCCTGGTGCTGTCCGATTGCGTGGAAGCCAGTCTGAGATCAAAGCTTTGGTGCGAGACAAGGGTCGAGCAGTTGGTGCAGCTGAGGACAGCAACCGAAGTTGTTTTGTGTACGTGTGTGCCCAGCTTTGTGTTTGAATGTCCTGACCTAAAAACAAGGACAGCACGTGGCTACAGGCGAGTGTCTTGGGGTTTCCGAGAAGCCATCGTTGACAAGACAAAAAATGCGAACATGCAAGGCACGAGCACCGTGGAAGCAGCTCAGGAAATCATGGTCGAGGGCCGAGCAGCAACACGATCTCACAGAGGAGATCGCTTTCTCAGGCCTGAGAGGTACAACTACCTCAAGGCCGGAGAAGAGTTGATGAAGGACTGCTCTCTGGTCAGCCTCGCTGCCGATGCTGTCAGTGTTGGCAGCGACCACATTCTGAATTGCTTCCTGTGGCACCCGCTGCAGAAGAAGGCGGTTCACTGCCCACCTCAGGTGCTTGGCTGAGCATAAGCGACTGTTGCATGTGTTTTCAGTATCATTGAGGGAGAGGTGTCTACATTAGAGAGGAGCGAACCTCCGGGAGAGCGTCTCCTTTTTGAGACTTTTCCCTGGGCAGAGCCACGGGCAGCACGCCTCTTTTTGTAGGAAAAAACGAGGCAAAAAGTCTCGCGAAGACAAGGTTTGGGAGCTCAAATATTTTCAGCCCTTGGCCTCTGGGACCGCGCCTCCAAGTCGGTCAGCCTCTCCCAGCACGCCTCCGCTTCGGCGAGGCTTCGCCTTTAAGTTTTACTTTACAGAGGAGTTTCGGGGTCCAGGGTTTGCAGCCCTGAGCCTGTGGGACCACGCCTCTTTTAGCACGTTTTCACCAGGCAAAAAGCCTCGTAAAAAAGTAGGTTTTTTCCATCGGTTTTCGTGCCCTTTTGGTTGCTTAGCCTCTGGCAGCGCGCCTCCTGTCAGCGAGCAAAAAGCTTGCTTGGCAGGCAAACAGAATAGAAGGAAGAAGGTAGAGAAACAAGAGAGGCAGACAAGCAAAAGCACAGAAGACAGACTTGTTTTGCTCCTGCAGAAGTAAGAAAACAGCGAGGTGCAGAAGCAGCTGAAGACATATGATCTCTTCCAAGAGGACGGCGCCTTGTGGACAGGCAAGACAGCAGAATTCATGAAGAAACGGGAAGACGAGACTCGAGAAAACAAAGCTCGAAGGCTCCGTGTCAAAACAGAGTCAAAGGACCGACTCCCCACCTTCATGTGGATGCAGTGCGTGCAGGCTTCTTTGAGGTCAGTCGGCTTGAAGTTCCAGGACTTCGTGGAAGTGGCGACATCGGAGAGAGCCGGAGGCTCCATGCCAAGAACCCTCGTGGTGGCAACGGACCAAGAAGCATTGCAGATAACAGCCATGAACTTCCTGAAACATCATCGAAAGCTGTGCAGTATTCACATTTACGATCCGATGCACCGGCGACAGAACGATACGATTCTCGCTTTGGGCGAGTCAGGATGCCTGAGGAGAGCATCCATGAACCTCAGCCTGTACAACATCAAATTTGGGCCCTGGCTGAAGGGTGGCTGGTTCCGTCAGTTGCAAGAAACAGGGGAGAAGTTGAGGCAGATGCAGCCCAACGACCCCCTCCTCATGCACTTCTGGCCAGAAATCCTCAAGGACAGAGCCTTCCTGTTGGAGGACTCTCAGGAAGGCCGGAAGTTGTTCTTGGCCACATTGAGGAGCCAGCAATTCCTGACAAGCAAGGGTCCCAAAGCATCCCTGAGCAAGTTCAATGCTTTTAGCGAGGCCCACCGACTCCTTGACGAGCATTGGTCATCGCAGGCGTTCGTGATGACGGCGACATGCTTGCTTCAGGGCTGGGTCTCCTATGCAGATCAACTGTGGTGCCCAGAGGAGTGCATTGGTCAGCTTGGTGAAGCATCGACCAGCAGAAATACTGCAAAAAAGGAGGCCAAGGCTGCCCTGGACAAGATGCGAAATGCATCTGTGAACAGCCTGCACAGCATGACCAAGTACATCAACGATGCCGAGGTGAAGCTGGAGAGCCGTCTCATTGCTGCAGTTCTCGCACCCGAGTCCAAGGCAGCTGCACAGATGCTGGTGGACATGCGGGGGCCCGAGCAGACCCTGGCTTACTTTGTGTCCTGGGCCGAAGGTGGCTGGCTTGAGACAGCCTGCGAGCATCTGGGACTGCTTGAGGACCTGGCAAGCTTGAACAGAATCGGCTTCCACATGCAGTGGACAGAGGTGCCCGGCGAAGGACAGCTGGAGTACGAGAGGGCCACCACCGAGAACCTGTTTTCCTTCCTCAAGAGCCTCCTGAAGTATAGAGCCGGGAGTAACCTGTGGCACACTTGCGGACAGGGGGCCTGTGCCGGCTTGCTTTCAGACGAACCGGCCTTGCTCCAGTCGAGGCTTCTGTGGTTCAAGGAGATTTGCGAAGCTGAAGAAGAGGTCAAACAGACAGGGAACCTGGCTGCACAAAACTTGCTGAAAGACAGCATGCTTCAGGAGATTTTTCAGCAAAACGTGATTCGATTCCTTAAAGAGGAAGGTTTTGCCAGGGTTGCTCCGAAACTGGAGGAAGTCCTTCAAGCTACTTTCTCCTCCTTGCTCAACACGAAATTGGTTGAAGATGCGAACAAGTTTCAGCGTGAAAAAGAAGACCGAGGAAACAACTCCAAGACAGTTTCCATGGCTGAGGCTTGGCACACCGTTTCGCAGCACAAAGTGCTGGAGTCCTACAGCAGAGAGGAAGTAAGGGCAAGCAAGAACTGGAGGGTTCCGGCAAGCTGGAGCATTGAGGACATCTGCAGGGAAAATGTCCGACGAACAGAGAACAAGACTATGGCTGAGAAAGCCGACTTCGACTTCCTGAGCCGGGTGACAGGGCAAGTCTCCTGGCCATCCTTTACTCCCGAGACAGAGCAGAGGCTGATTTGCAACCTGGCCCTGCTGGTGCACATCCACAAGTTGGGCAAGAAGTGGGACATGGCCGAGAAAGCGTGGCTGTCAGGCCTGGTGCAAACAGGCTCTGTGCTGCAATGGCAGGAGAAGCCGCACTATGTCGTCCGAACATATCCCCAGGGCTTGCTTTTGTGGCCCCTGCTGGAGACAGGAGACAACAGGCTCGTGTTTCAGAAGCCCTTAAAGAAGCTGGTTTGGGGCTTCGTTTTTTCCTTGGAGAAGTGCAAGATACAGCTGCTGACACCCTGTGCTCCCATGGAGGCCGTGCGAGGGCAAAAAGCGGGCATTCAACTGGTGGGAGGAGCCTGGCAGCCGCTGCTGCAGAATCTCATGGACAGTGGCTTCAAAGGCATGAATGAGTCCCAGTTGAAGAAGCTGAATTGTCTGTTGGGGCACGAGGAGCCAGAGGCCCAGCAAGAGAACCAGGAAGTCGCACTGGCTGTGCACTTGCTGGTCAACGAGGATCCCACATTGACCGAAAAAGATGTCCTGGATAGAATTGAAGTTCGCAACACAGAGCGTGATTTCCCTGTGGAAGGCATGACAGAAGAGCTGGCCGATGTCATCAAGGACACTCTTCGAGTCCAGGACCAGGAGAAGATCATCAACAACCTGAAGAAAAAGGCAGCTGCACCGAGCAAGGTGGCCGAGTGGGCCAAGGCAAGCTATCAGAAGTCGTACGACAAGATTCCCATGGAGAAGGTGCAAGCTGCTATCTTGCAGAAGCAAAAAAAAGAAAAGGAATCGACACAGAGGAAGGGGTCCAAGCGAAAGGAAGTGGAGAACAGCGAAGTCGAAAAGAAGACCCAGATCAGAAAGTATGCGAAGAGGGACCAGGACGTCGACAAGCAGCTGCACCTGCACCTGCCCCCGGACGTCGCTTGTGACACGGACGACGACAATGGTCGTTGGAGATTGACACACAAGCTCAAGGGAGCCAAGCGGCAGAAGAGTCTCAGCTGGACCATGGCCGGCCACAGTCAAGCTGCAGCAGCTGCACTGTTGCAGGCGTTCAAATGGCACAAGGAACAAACCGGAGAAGACATGCCTGTGAAGACACAGAAGCTCGTCGATAAGTGGCAGAATGTTTCTACCTCGGCAAGCAGACCTCAGAGCTCGTTGGTGGCGCCTGAACTCAGCAGCTCCTCCAAATCAAGAGCCCCGTAGTTCTTGCTAAACACCGGTGCAAGAAAGGCGAAGTTTTCCAGGAGAAGACAAAATGATGAGCCTTTGCAGACAGCCCGGTTTTTCATCATGTTTCATGACAACTTTCACATGGAAGGCGAAGCTTGCCCAACCTTGCGAGGCTCGGAAGCTGCAGAGGTAGACAGCTGTGTAGTGCATATTTTGTCATGTCTTTGGTTTCCATGAAAGAGACTTCCTTTCGAGTCCGGCTTTGGCTGGAAGTGCACCATGAGTCGGATCACTTTCGTCTGCTTGCCTTTCGAAGAGCCCTAGCCCGAGACCGAAACCTGGCGGGCGTGTTGCAGCACACGAAAACCCTCGCCAGAGTCGCTTCCTGCGACTTAACGATCTTGCTGACCTTGCGACCTGCGAGTACAGCTTGGAAAGACATTCTGGAGGACCTTGTAGAGGGCAGCCTCTTCCACTGAGAGAGGCCTGTGTCAACAAAGTCCTAGGAAGTTTGTGAAGCTTCAGCTGCCAGGCGGAGACTTGCTGAAAATAGTAAAGAAGGAGCAGCAGTCGTGGAAATTGCTTGCTTTAGCTTTCACAAGTGCCACATTGTGCAGTGCCGAATTGCAGTTTTGTGCTGCGAAACGTGGCCAGTCATGTGCCTGGAAGAGAACTTACTTGGCCTCTTGTCCTTGCAGGCTATTTTGTAGTAGGAACTTTTCCCGGCCCTCTTTGTCCCGACCCAAACTTGTGCCATGGTGGCCTCGTCCAAGCAGGCGAGGAAGATGGCGAGCAGCAAGAAAGCCACGAAGGTTCAGATGCGAGAGCAGAAGAAGAAACAGCGAGAGCAGAAGCAGACGGTGAAACAGCAGACCAAGGCGGCCGGCAAGCTAAGAAAAGTCATGCAGCACTACGACGCCAACAGCCACAAAGTGGACAGAGACTACATTGTGGAGATGCTGGAGGCGAATCCCAGTTGGGTGGCGAAGCTTGCTTCTGTCATCAGGCAAGGGGGCATGAAGATCCTCATGGAGTTGGAGCAGAACGATCAGGACCAGACGGCAGGCCTGGACTTCGGTGCGAAGTGGAAGGGCAGGAATGTGAAGACTTTGATGGCCATGCCACAGCAAGTCATGGAGAACATGATCATGGCGACCTTGAAAGAGGATACCGTGTGGCCCACAGACAAGACACAATTGTGGTGGCAAGCCGCATTCCGGTACCAGATGCACTGCACCGACGACACACCCTTGCCCTATGACAAGATGAACCGCTACGTCATGGTCATGGAAGAATATGCAAGAATGAGGGTGGCAGCCATTGGCAACAGGCTGGAGGGTTTGAAAAAGAAGTTCGAGACCCTGACCTTGCAGGACTTTGAGATCTACCACATTCATGACCCAGCGACGAATGTCGAGTTCGGAGATAAAAAGGATGATCCCTGTGTGCTGAAGAACTTGCTTACGAACGAGGAGTACGAGTTGCCGGCCTTGAAGAAGCACCAGGGTGCCTGGACACTGCAGAATGCCAATGATCCTGACACGTTGATCACAGCAAAAGACTGTCCTCTGCAATTCAGGGCTGTGGATTACTTCCCTCGCATGCCCAAGGCAAGCGAGAAGTGGGGCTATCTTGTAGATGCTGCACAGGTGGCCAAGGCACAATTGGCAGGAGAGTAGATCCGTTACCAAAGTTCCTACCACGAGCATGGTGAAGTCCTGCTACTTACAAGCCCTCAGACCAAGAACTTCTCTCTGTTGCTTCGGGGTGCGGGGTAGGGGAAAACTGCCAGAAGCGGAAGCCTGGTCAAGAGGTAGACTTCTTTTGTTTTCACTTCACGAAATTTCGCGAGGGGTTCGCGCGCAGCAGCTGGAACAAAAGGTTGGCCTGAAGTCACATGTTTGCAGTAGAACCTTGAAACTGTGTGCTTCTTTGAAAACCTTCAGACCCACAGTTAATGCAAATCTTCTTGGTTAAAGACTTGCCCAGCAAAGCAAGACTGATTGTGGTCGAAGACTCATACTCGTCTGCAAGGGTCAGTGAACGGTTGACTGAAGCCTCAGGCCTTTTTTGTTTTGGGGATTTAACCCCAGCTCCACATTGAGTGGCACATCGTATATGCTTTTTGTACTTCGCGAGACCTCGCTTTGTCAGCAAGGAATGCCAGGGAAAAACGATCAAAGCATTACTGAGCAAAAAGGCTTTGCTCAGCCTGTTCAGAGATTTCATCCTCCTGCAAAAACAACAAGATCGTAAAGTGCGAAGCCTCAGATGCAAGTGTGCCTCATGGGGACTTGGAAAAGGCCCCATGAGGCACACGAAAAGCTTGGGGGTCAGTGGGAGGGAAACAGGGGACCTGCTACAGGGGCCCCTGTTCCAAGCTGACGAAAGTCTCGCCAGGTCCTATGACGAGAACTAAGTCTGTGAGGAATTGCTTTATCAGCATTTTCTGTCATGGCAGTGATTCGGAAGCAACAGCAGCCATTGCACGACACATGCTGTTCACTGTTTGTTAATCTTCCGTTTGCAAGTTATGCTGGTAGACATGTCATGTGGCGAAAACTGCCTCGCCGTCTTCGAATTTGTTGCCAAGATGAGGAAGACAAAATCGCTATTTGCCTAAAGTATCCAATCGACAAGGTCAAGGGATCCCACTTGCAGCTGCAAAGGCAAGCTCGAGTCAAAGTCACAGGAGGATCGCTTTCGGTGAAAAACTTGCAGCAAGAAACATCCCTCGCTTGCATGCTCGGGCCTTTTTTCGGGCAATGTGAGGCAAACATATGGGCAAGTGAGCAGTTCACACAGATGAAGAGACTTCACTGACACGTCTTCATCCGAAACATTAGAGTCCCAAGTTTGAGTAGATGCGAAAACACTGAACTTGTGATGGAATGTTTTTTCGCATAAATCATAGCAGCTCATTTGTTTTTCAATTCTGCTTTAAGAGAATAAAAAAATGTACCCTGCAGTAAAAACATATCATGGCCAAGGAACTAAAGACAACAAAGCAAGGAAGCAAATGCTTCATCCTTGCAGATGAAGTGGTCAGTCCCAAACTTCCTTCCTGCCTTCCTGTACCGAAGTGTTTTCCCTTCTCTCAAAGCCTTCCGTGCCCAAACAACAAAACGGGCAACTGGCAACACACAAAACCAGGGCAGAAATCTGGGGGACCACGCGTTCTCTGGGACGGGGCTTGTTGGCAACACCGACTTTCGGTTTTTGTTTTATCTCCAGAGGCCTTGACTTATCTTGGCTATAGGGGAGTTGAAAGGTTGTGTCTGCACATCTGCTGGTACCCATGTCACAAGGTGGCTCCTTGTGGATGAAGCCGTGCGCATGAAGCTCCCCAACTGCCTTAGGAACTGAGGGGTGCAGGCATGAACCTTCATGTGGGCTACGACCTCCCCCTGGTGCCTGTTGAGGTGAGAGGTGAGATCGTGTGTCATACGCAAAGACACCCTGACAGCGACTCTGGCCACCAATCCACCGGATGGCCACCTATCCTGGTGGCTCACACTGCGAAAATTTCACGTTTCAAGGCAATCACACCTAGCTTCACTCGTTTTCCGGCTGGATGCCTCAATCACTGCCTTGAGGGTCTGGGGCCTGCCATGTCATCCCTGTTGGTCAAAGCTCCCCTCCGCTCTGGTTGCAGATCCGGCTTCGGACGTTCACACAAAAACCTGCGTCGGGGGCGAGTGAACCTCAATGCCCCAGCTCATGATGGCCTTGGTATGGTACACTTGCGTGCCGAGGGGCGGTTAGAAGCTCTCTGAGCACCTCCTTGGCCTCGTGCTGCAAGAATGAAGATACTTCAGGGCTTTGATGGGCTTAGGGCCCGCGCGGCAAAACATGGAGCACCAAGGGGCACTCTTACCAGCCGATCAAGGCAAATGCACTGCTAATGAAGGTAATCAACTCAAGAGGACTGACGCGTACAGAGCCTGTGACTCCCAGCCCGAGCCTGTCATATCTCTCATTCGTTTGCTTGCCTCTCAAATTTCCACATGACCTCAACTTCTCAATAAGAGCCCGAGAAGCCAAACACCTGTAACCCCAGACAGCCGCAATCTCTCTCCCAAAAAACCCTGTGAGCCCGCCTCGTGGGGAGGCAATCGTCGCTCAGGTGCCTTGAACGGGGGAGGGGGGGTGGGGGGTGGTTCCTATATTTTCCCATTCGAGTAGGGGCCTGTTTTAGCCCTCTAGGCAGACTCAACAACCTACTTGGATCACAGCAGAGCGTTGGGCTCGCTCTCTGCGTAAATCGCTAGCACCGAAAGAACTTCTTTTGCCCTCGCAGAGAAATGCTGAGGGCTTTCTTTGGTTGAGGTTTCTCAGGTCTTGCTAGTCGAGCTTCCTCTCAGGCTTCTGTTGTTGAGTCGCTCCGTCGCACTCAACCTCTTCCAACAAGTAGCCAGATTTTCAGACACCATCGACATCCACCGTACCGACCGCAAGTCACAAACAAGAACTCGAGAGCGTGCAGCAGCTGCCCACTGTCCCATCGAATGTTTTCGACTCACCCTGCAGCAGGCGGCGCAGTGAACGGGGCCCCGTGTCATTTGTGCGGAGCATGTCAAGTGGATCAGGTGCTGCTTGAGCTTCTTCGGGCAAACTTGAGGCTCGCAACACCCACGTTTCCAGGGCATCTGTCGAAATCAAGTTCTTTCAGACATGGGTGTTTGTACAAAAACAACCTCATGTAACCTGGGGTTACCGGGGATGTCGAAACGACAACAATCCCGTACTGCTTCCACATGCAAGCAGTGAAGTTGGTTGAAATTAGGACTCCAAGAGACTCCAAGGTTCTTGGAACATTCGTGTTGTGAGAACCAAGGGCAACGGCTGAGGGCCCCTGCGCCTGAGAGGCACTCGTAGAGGTCGCAACCTGCAGCCCGCCAAAAATTCGACGCAGACTTATATCTGCTCACCTGCACGTTAATCTGCTTATCTTCCGAGAGCCCGAAAGATCAGAATGTCTGCTTGTGACAGCCTGCATCAATGTGAAGTTCTGTGCTCTGGTGAAGGGCTTGTGCCTCCCGCACGCTCCATCACCACATAGTACGCCCTGCTGTCCTGCGCAAGGCGCTCGACGAATGCGCGACTTTGCAGGATGTACGGGATGTACGTGGATATACGTTGAATTGCCTTATAACGCGCCATCCGATGTCCCATCGTGATGGATATAATATACAATCCTACACTACACGATGTCATGGGATTTTGAAACCACCCGCAGCGTTGAAAGGCTGAGCTGCCTCCACAACATCGATGAGACGCGCCACGCCGTTGGTCTGAGGCATGTTCAAGACCAGCTCCTGCGAACGAAGCCCCGGAACCCCAAACACGCCTCGAAAAATCCTGTAAACCAGCGGAAAGCCGTCATCTTGTTGAAGGGGGCGTACTGTATGTGTTCCAACACAAACGTGGCATGCGAGACTGGAAGATTATGAGTCAGAACCGTCTCTTCAAATACCTGGCTTGACACTGAAAGTGTGCCACGGGCTTATGCGTGTGTGAGCTCATGGCCAAACCCGTGTCCGTGTTGTTTCGCCATCTCGATTCTTCGTTCTTCCCCTGGAAGCTCTTGTTCTTGTACCGGAGCTTCACAACGAACCTTGGAAGCAAACCCAAGCATCACAGGCACCAAACCAGAATCCCTTGCCACCTTGCTAAGCTGATGCTTGACGTATCTTGAGCTGCTCCCAGATATCCCACTCAAAAGAAATTCCATCCTGCTGAGTAGGTTCAAGGGTAGGCCATAATTACTGCCATACTACTTGACTCCAAACACAAAAAACTCCCTAACCTGCTGATGCTGAGTCGAAGTCGACTCGGTGGAGGTGCTTTCCTGGTCAGACTGGTCAGCGCCAGTCTTGTGCTTGCGTGCTTGACATGATTTCTCGTTCGTGGGGGTGGGGGGGGGGGTCGGGTCTAGGCATTTCGACTGCGACATTCGGGTTTTCTGAGGATCCCCTCAATGAACTCTCCCCATGCCGCCTCTCCCAGGCTGGCGCGAGTAGCGTGCCGTATCTCCATGCCACTGTGGCACGAAGGCATCACCTGTGATGATGAGGAGGGTTAATTTTTGGGTAGGCCTGCCGGCCTGCCTTTGGTAGCTGTGCATGGGGTGGTGAGCTGGCTCCACTTCCTATTCTCCTGAACTCCCACTCCGAACAATCCATAAAATTACAAATGGGTCCTCTAGGTAGTTTTATGCTGCCCTTGCACCGCTACGTCATTCAGGTTTTGACTGCAGCCCTCCTTGCTTTTTGTTGTGACATGCACATGTGTTCCCGACAAGGTGGATGTAGTCAACTTCAGTGCCCAACTACGAACTCCTGAGCTGGCTGGGACCTCCCGTTATCGTTAGAATCTCTTCACCTCAAACGTCTCTTTTCCGGATGTTTTCTGGCTCAGGGAATCCAGAGTCGCAGCCCGAAACCCGAAACATGAAAACTTAACCCCCTCAAGCCCTAAGCCCCCAAGACCCCAAAAACCTCAACACTGACAGCTTTTGGTTTTGGTGCTGACCCACGCGAGAAGGGGCTCCCGACGCTGGCGCCGATCTTGTAGAATCGGGCCTGAGCCAGGTGCACATAGCGGGTTTTGGCCGATAGGGCTTAGGGTTTAGGCTTCCGTGTCTTGAGCTGGGTGCGGATTCTGATGCAGCATTTTT